TCTGTGGACACGAGCCTGTTGCTCAAAAAGCAGGAGTCAAAGTATAGGGGAGGGGGGGGGGTACTGGATGAAACGGGACACATGTCATTGTACTTAGGTTACCAGGGATCAAGTGTAACATTCAAATGTTCTAATTAACAAACACAAGTGTTGCAGGCGGGCAGCATCTTTTTTTATGGACTATGATACTGTGCACATGTATCAGCTGGATGTCAACCAACCAAAATAAAAAACAAGCTTTTGAGCCCAGCACACACCGTCCGTTTCCTGTAGGACCCCTCCTAACATGCAGCACCAGCGCTTCCTGACATGGAAGCATCTGCAGCTGGGATTCCAAAATGTGACCACAGTGCCGACTATTCTGCATCATTTAAGACCATGTGGGTGGACCTGTATTGTTCGGTGGTGTAAGACTTTGCCAAACCCCTTTTCCAGGCTTATGCGCTGGTCCTGCCAGAGCCTGGACGCTCCTCAGCTACATGCCCAGGTTTGCCCAACCAACAAACACAAGAGACAAATCCCTCTCTGGAACGGCTGCAACTCCGCCTGCAGTGTTGCTATGGATCTGGATTAGGAGTGCTGGATCAAAGTAACCCAGCAGGGAAGCAGTCAATGGAGTTTCTACTGAAGGCAGTGATTATGATAAGTGTAGGAAAAAGTATCAATCTACCAGCCTGAGCTTCAAAACTAGTTTCCAGTGAAAGTGGTGGAACAGCAGCATTGCAAGTGATGATGCAATAAATTCACTGGCCCATTTTGGCCCCTGCCTAGAACCGCCCATGTTTCTGTGTCATCCTAGACTAAACTAGTAAACTCAGTTTAATGCCTCACCTTTGTGATAAATAAGCACAGAGATGTTAGTTCATGAAAAGACAGATTTAAATTGCATTTGGAAGCTTAGGAAAACTTTCAAATACACTTTGGGTGACTTATTTTCAAGTAACAACATCAGCAGAAGAATAGAGCTTAAATTATTATGGGGGATAAGATACAGCCTTCATTATAATGTGATTTAGGCCCAGCGTGTTTTACCCATTTTTCTATCACAGCATTTCTTGTTTGCCTTTTTATATGACATAATGTCCAAAAAATAAAATAACCGTTAAAAATGCCACAACTTATTCTGTCTCTTTTACAGGTTATACTGTTTTTCCTATTTACTTGTGTTGTATACGTTGTTTGTTCATTTATTTATTTTTTATTTATGTTTGTCTCATCATTTTGTATTATTATTATTATTATTTTATTTTTTTAATACTACTCTTCTTAAATGTACTTTTATTTTTTCATGCTTATCTATTTATTTTTATTTAGTTATTGTATTTTATTTTTTGTGAGTTTTCCACTCTTGCACTTTTATTCTTGTCTTTAAACTAAGAGGTCTATTTGTTGGACTGGGAGGGAGAAGTAATACTGGATCTTTGAATGTTTCTGGGGAATAAAAAAGAAAACAAATGTTGACTCTATCCCAATTGAACAGTATGTCTTAAACTTAATTTAATAAAAATATGTTGAAAAAAAAATGTCACAACTTCTGTGAAATCCCACTTTCACAAAGCTAGATGGACATTTTTTTGACATTGTGTTACAATGTCTGATTCTTCCTCTTGTGTCAGGATGAATTGCAGAAAGTAATAAGAGTAACTGAGACATAATGAAGAAACGAGGAAAACAACAGGGATCGGAAAACATTTAAGTTTTCCCTCAGACAGAGATTCCTTTTCTTTCTTTATCACCTCCATCTCCACCTCCTTGCTATGGGCATCCCCCAGACTTTCTCCCTGCAGGATTAGCAGTCTGAAGACCACGCTTTATCGTTGTGAGGGTGTGTGGCAGTCGTGTGTAAAGGCTTAGCTAAATGTACACTTGAAACATGTCATGTGTGAGGTCTGGCATGCATGTACACTGACTTTACTGTGAGCTGATGTGACTCAGACTGAGAGCCATAAGAGGCTTAGAGTATCACACATCTAGTACATCAAATTAAAACATCTCGGATTTGTAATATTGTATTTATTGTTTTTACTCAGTAAGGGTTAAAAAATTGGGACCTTCTTATAATTCAGCAACCAAAAAAATAATAACTTAAAGCGATTAAACTCACCCGTATGAGAGAGACATCATCAAGATGAAAAATCTGATCTTTACCTTGCAGAGTTGCAGATCACTTTAAATCCTAGTTTTCAAGAATAAGGTTCACAATTTCTTTTTTTCCCTCGACTTTGACTCCTAGGAGTTGGTGACAGCTCTGCTCCTCGTGCCAGTCACACCTCCTCTCTTGCAGAGTCTCAGGTTTCATTATGTGACAGCATCCTCTTGTCTCAGAGCAGGCTGAGTGTAAAGCGCATGTGCACACAACGCTAGAGGTGAAATATTACTCCTCAAAATGTGCCAGACAGTTTCCTGTAGGTGCCTGCTGTTGGTAGACGGGTCATATGCAGGGGCGGACTATTGGACTATGGGACCCTCGGCGCAGACATGCCAAGAGGCCACCCGAAACCTCCTCCGTCTTTGTGGTTGTTTTGCACAGCTCAGTCGTTGATTTGTGTCTTTTTGTGATTGTTTTGCAGCCCTTTGATATGTTTTTGTTGTTGTTGTTACTCTAAACAGCTGTTTTGCATCTCTTGTTGCTATTTTGTGACTCAGTAGTTGCTTTTGGTTCCATCCTAGTAGTTTGTCTCTGTGGTTATTTATGTATTTCTGCAGGGTTGTTTTGAATCCCTTAGTCGCTCTATTTCTCTTTGCAGTTTATGTGTCACTGAAGTTGAAGTTGCTTTATTTCTCTATTTATGTATTTCATGCTTATATTGTTATTTTTTTTGACTGGGGAACTTAATTTACATCTTTGTGGTTATTTTTATTTATTTATTTTTACCTCTGAGTGTTTTGTTTTTCATCTCTTAGCCTGAGTTTTTTCTCTCCCTCTGTAGTTCATTTGAAGTTGATTTGTGTCTGAACGTTGGTTTTATCTTTTTGTGTGTGTAGATAACTCCTGTCTCCTGGTGTTTTGTATCTAAATTTAGTTTATCCCCCTTTGTAGATGAAATGTGTCACTTTGAAGTTTATTTGCATTTCTTATTTTTTTGTCATTTATTTTTGAATGTTTGTTTTTTGTCTTTGTAGCATGTTTGTGTCTCTTGGATGCTGTTTTTCACTTCTAAGCTTCTTTGCACTTTGTAGTTACTTTTTGTACTTATAATTGTGAAAATTTGTTTTTTTTATCCCTTTTGTTGCTGAATTGTGTTGCTCTGTGGGGGATTTTTGTTGCTTCATTGACTTACCAACAAGAAAAGATTAGAAGAAGATCTCTGGTGTAAGAGTCCCATGACTCCTCGGGCCTCTGGTCTGTTTGAGCAGTTGAGTTATCCATCCATGGTCCTTTGGGTATTTGTGTTTGAAAGACATTGAAAAAAGATGAAAAAAAGGAAACACTGGAATAACACTGGAACCCAGCTGTGAGTTGGTCAATGACCATTCAAACACACAAACTATGTGCAACTTCAGGCATCATTCTCACCGGCCCGGCTAAAGGAAACAGTGAGGCGAAAAGAAATTGAATCAGAAGCTGCTATAGAAGCAACAAAATGTGAAAAGAGGAGAGAAAGCGGTTAGCGGCTCTTGGCTGTAGGGGCTAAAGGATTAGCACATTGTAAGAGGCAGAATGCACTCATCCTGGCATCTCTCCATTTTGAGTAACAGAAATTGGTCCCTTCTGTAATTAGCCTAGACCAGTGCTTCCCAAAGTGTGGGCCGCGGCCCCCTGGTGGGCCGTGTGGGTACTGCAGGTGGGCCGCAAAAAGCCCTCCAAGTTTAAAGATAAAAGAAATATCACAATAATGATGATTAACCATGAGTCAACCCTTTGAGTGATTAGTAATGACTATTCATGGACATAATGTTTAGTCACCTTTTGTGTCTATCTTGCCATTCTATCATGTTACCCTAACTGAAAGTGAGAGCTGTAGTCAGAACTTTTATTTTATAACGAGCCCCGGAGTCATTTTGTATTTCAAAGTGGGCCGTGGCAGTTTTAAGTTCGGGAAAGGCTGGCCCAGACAGAACTCACCTTCAGATGCAAATGAAACCTGGACTTGTACAACAAACAGTTCTCTAGGGTTGATTCATGAAAACACATGAACACAAAAAAACGAATTCTCAAATTGTGTTTTCACTAACACACAAAACTCCTGAAAATTCCATAAATTGTCAGGGTGAGCTGCATTAATGCATAAACGACCAATTTTTTTTTTCACCCTGGCTTTACCCGGACGGTTCCCTCTCAGCCTCCAAGTAAAATTTCAGTATGAAGTCAAGGGGGAGGTGTTCTACAATTCTACAATTCACTTATCAGACGCTTTTCTCCAAAGCGACGTACATCAGAGAGTAAGAACAACACAAGCAAGGATCTAGAAAAAAGGGAACAATGTGAGTAAGAGCAAACGATCAGCTTTGAGTCTGATTGGACACACAGGTGCTGACAGGAAGTGACCAGAGGCAAAGCACAACATTGAGGGCAGTTCTTGAGAGCTCTAATCAGTACAGAAACCATCTTATAAGTCGTCGTTATCAAACAAAAACCATCGTCATTACCATCATCATCATCAATAATATGGAGACCATCATCATTAAGTTAGTAGGTATTCATGAAAGAGCTGGGTCTTTAGCTTTTTCTTAAAGGTGCAGAGGGACTCTGCAGATCACATGGAGTTTGGAAGTTCATTCCACCACCGGGGGGCGACAGAGGAGAAGAGTCTAGTCAGCGTCTTAGGACCCTGTTGTGAAGGTTGGAGGTTGGGGGGGGAGGGAGTGTAGACCTGGATCAGAGAGTTAAAGTAAGGAGGAGACGTTTTTGTCGCTGTTTTGTAATCGAGCAGCAGAGTTTTAAATCTGATGTGAGCAGTAACTGGGAGCCAGTGTAAGGAGGTGAACAGAGGAGTGACATGGTCCAGGTGTTGTGGAAAGATTGTTGTCCATGTAATAAAGCCACAATACAACCAACATTCAAAGGTATTACAGTCAGTCTCTTTTATTGTTATTTTATACTGTACAGTTTACTTACATTATCTATGAGTACAATTAAATAAAATTAATATATCTTGTTACACTTTCTGTTTAAGTGCCATCTATTCTGCAGGTCATTAGAATATGAAGCATGTTTATTATTTTAAATATGATCTCTATAAAAGCAGCTTATCTTGTTTTTTTTATCTAAGAGTACAAAAATCACTCAAAAAAAGGCTTTACCATTCACTGTGTTATTCTTGTCACATTATAGGGTGGGTTTATCACATTTAGAGATTATCTGCCTCACTATGTCAGAGGTCACCATTAGTAAGGCACAAAAATGTTCTAGTATAGATATTAATGTAACATACAGGAGCATTCTTATTTATTTTTAAATAACATTAGTGTAAAATTAAGCAGATTTATCCTTCCTCTGATGGAGACACACTAACCCAGGAGGCTGTAAGACCCCCCCAACTTTTCAAATAAGCAAAGAGACAGAGCAGCCATGTGACCAAAGACACTTTCACTTTTCTGTTAGGAACACAGCATCTCTCTCTGGAGTCATTTCAGGAAGAAAAACAAACGTTCTCCTTTATGTGGGCCAATTCACACATCTATATTCTTCTGCAACAGAGAAAAACCCAAACAGCCCCTTACCATGAACACGAGGACTGCCACTGTGTTTCACTCAATAACCATTGTTTCTGTGCTAACCCAGTGAATGGTTTTCACCGCGTCCAGCCCACGCCACTTCCTGTGAGTAAGCCTGTACAGGATTGTCTTCCACATCCTCACATAACACATATTCTGGGGACAATTTTTCAAGGCTGCTGTGCAACGTATATATATATGTGTATTTTTTTTTAATTGTGTGGAGCAGCTTTACTGACGAAAACAATTGCCCTTCAAAGCCACACTCGATGTAAGAAAGGCTATTTCACAAATTGTCCTAAGTCAATTAAAGGTTAAAGGTCACATATTATGCAAAATACACTTGTTTTTCAAACACTAATATGTGTCCCTTGTCAGACTTCAAACCCCAATTGTGAGTGAAGTAAATCCTCTCCATCTTAAAGGCCATAACATAACATAAGGCCATGGTGCAAGAAAGCCAGAGCCAACCAAGCCCTTCCAGAGAGGGGGCGTGGTCAGACACAGCTCATTTACATATTTAAAGGTACAGACACAGAAACAGCCTGTTCTGAGCAGGGCTGAAATAGAGGGGTTTATAGACATGATCAAATAGGATCAGAAGGAACTTTGAGCCAGAAACTTTACAGACATGTTTTGGGGAGATGTGGTTGAAAAGCAGGATAATGTGACCTTTAAGAATATTGAAGTGTAAATCTTATGTCATATTGTAGCGTTTGCTGACATACTTAATACTTAACATACTTAACATACCATAATTTCGTATCAGTTGCAACAGCAGCTTTGATGCTCAATTGGTCAGAAAAATTTAAATGTAAGTGGTCTGTCAGACACCAGCAGTTGGACAAAAAAACACGTTTTTTTACAAGTTCCATAAAATGCACAATAATGTTCTGCAGCTACTAAGAAGCACCGTTTTTGAAATATAAAGTTTTACGCCCTGAAATGGAAAAAGAATCAAGCAGCTCCTTCAGTCTTAACTGAAGTTTAACTGTCCTGCCTCTCTGGCCTGTTAAAGCTGCACTTAGAGGCCAAAAATAAAGACTGTTGGATTGCATATCCACATGAAAAAGATAAGAATTTTAACTCCTCATGAGTAGATTGATTTGTGACGAGAGAAGGAACAGATCCCTTATAAAAAAAAGTGTCCTAAAAATGGAGTAGCATGAACAGCTGTCTCACATTTTGTACATTGGATTCAGCCACTTAGTATGTCTGTAAAACAGTCTAAGCTTTTTGTGTGATTGTGTTTTTTCATGACAAGGTAACTCAGCCAAGTTCATCTTAGTAGAAATGTTACTTAGTGGCCGACTGACGAGGCTCCTCCATGTGGGATTACCCCAAAAGTACCCTCTGCAGGCGGTAAGCCGGCACACTGCTCTCGTCCTCTGAATCGGCATCGCTCTGCGGGTTTGAGTTGCAGGGAGAGGTGCATTCTGGGGAGCACAGGTAGTGCATGAGGGGCAGCCGGTACTTTCCACAGAAGTCCACAAATTTGATATGGCGCACGCAGGAATCAAAGTACACGCCTGGAGATAGTGGAGTGAGACAGGAGAAACAAAGCCAAGGTGAGAGTTTACTTCAACGACTGTTACAGTTAATGTGTGATTGATGATGTATGCATTTATCACCACAATGCAACAATAATCACACATTCAATCAACAAACTTGCACAACTCTAATTAAAGCAAAAACTTACAATCGGAAAACGGAGAGCAGTAAAGGGAAAAACCTACAAAAGACATGTTGTCTGACTTTTCTCCTATACCGGCTGTCGGGACCCCCAAAAGGTTTCAGTAGAAAATCTCATATTTGCCATTTTTCTTCTTTAGTTTGCCAAAAACTTTACAAATCTTATATTAGTCCCAACTGCTAGACATATACAACACTGACGAGGGGATGATGTGGCAAATCTAATTTTAAGGAGCCAACACCCCAAAAGGTTAAAAAAAAAGCCAACTTCTGGAAAATTGATAGGTCTGGACGTTTAAAGAAAGATCCTGAAATGTTGTGGGATAAAAACCACGCAAGATAAAAATGTGTCTTCCTTACATGCACTCTGTGAGTAGTTACACACATTAAGATTTTTTTCTCTTAGTCCACTGCACAGCTCCTACATTACACCTTTTGTGTTTTTTTTATTTCTATTGTTCATATTTTAAATTTTTAAATTCTATTTTATATTTGTAATATCTTCTTATTCTGTATTATTTAAGTTGTTTCTAGTTCTGCTTTATTTCCTTGTTAATTGTTTAGCACCAATACACCAAGTCAATTCCTTGTATGTGTAAATGTACTTGGCAATAAACCCAGATTCTGATTCTGATTCTGATTCTGATTCTGAAAAGGTTGTATGCATTTTAAACACTATGTAAAAAAGTCATGTACCTGCACACTTGGGGTTAGGACACTTGCTGGCCAGGTCCAGGTAGTGCAGCAGGTTTGAAGGCAGGTCACGTGGGTAGTAGGGGATATTGCGACTCTTTATTGTGCGTCCTGCCAGCTCCAGCAATGACGGGGGGTCGTAGGTCATCTCCTTGACAAAGCGCACCACGAGCGGGTTGCCACGGAGACTGAGCTCCTGCAGATGCACCAGACTGAGTATCTCCCTCGGCAGGTAAGTTAGCAGGTTGTTATGGAGGCTTAAAGATCTCAGCGAGTGGAGCCTGGAATGAGACAGAGAGTCATCTTCTACAAAAGATCACCACAGGAATAAAGAATGATATGATCCACGCAGAGGAACTGCACACTTCTAGCTTTAATTGTCTATAGGAAGCCCTTATTGCACTTCAAGTGCTCACGACCTCCGTTTCAGAGCACTTCTCACCAGTGGTCAATGTTGCAAGGTTACAAAAGTTAACTAATGCTTCCCTCAGTAATGTCTGTTAGGTGTGTTTTAGACAGCTCAGTGTGCTTAAAGGGACACTTCACCCATTAGCATTAATCTTCGTATCATTAGAAACCTGGTAGTGTTTTTGAATGGTCGTGCATCCCGCCCTCATTTTCCCCTGAGATGTGAAATCTTTGTATTTCTGAGTCTGAAAAGGAGCTTCCAGTGATGCAAAATGACCATTTTTAGGTCATTGGAAGCTGTTGCGGTTAGTGCGGTGAAACTACAACGCTAGTTCCTGATATTTTCGACCACTGAAGACAGACCAATCACAGATCAGTGGGTGGGAACTCACTCCCAGAATCCAAACTTAACGTCCGCCATATTGCTCGGAAGCTATGCTAACAGGCTCTATGGAGAAAGCTGATAATGGTGAAAAAATTAGAAATATAACGCAAGACGGCTGCTGGCTGCCGGGGCCGCATGAGCCAAAGACACTTTCTGTCTTTTCTCAGTCAAGAAGGCACCAACTTCAGAATGTATTTCACATTTCTACATATATGACCCAATGTCAACACAGATTCATGTTTCAACGGGGGAAGTATCCCTTTAATATTTGCTTTAATTCAAGGAAATATTCCCAAGAAAACAATGTAAAGGAGTCATGTCCTGGCATCAGCAGCAGCTCTACAACTAAAAATCGTACTCCCCAAAAGAGGAGTCAGACGAGCGTCTCCTCCACCATTGTTGTTGACAAAGATGATGTAGGTAGAGAGGTGAAAACTGACAATTGCAGCGTTGTTCCAAAAGCTGAACTTATTTTTAGCCGAGAGCTACAAATATAAAAGGTCGGTTTGATTCTTTTTGTGAGTGTGACTTCTGTTTTGTTTTTTGTTTGTTTCATTTGTTTTGTTTTGAAAGAAATTCTTGGAACAAATTTTGTTCTGATGTTTTGTTTTTTTGTAACCAAACTAGTCGTGTCTTAAATAATGAAGATTTGTAACGAGGGGAGGTGTAATAAGATGAAGCTTCAGCCTAAACCTTTTCACTCAATGTGTTTTTGTTTTTCTTGTGACTGATATAAATGATTACTACTACTACTTACTACTACTACGGTTTTGGATTGAAAACAAGCTCTATCTGTGGACACAGACTTGCACTTATTTATGTAGGTGGTGTTTTCATAGGTGCTGGTTGAACTGGTCAGGTGCTGTTGGTGCAGTTACCTGGTGAGTTGTGGAGGTACACTTTGGATGCGATTGTCACACAAGACCAGGTAGCTGAGGTACGGCAGGTTAGCCACTTCTGGAGGAATAGCTGTGATGAGGTTTCCACCCAGATACAGCAGTTCCAGACTAAAAGACAAAAGGTAAGGAAATCATTTGCTTTGTTTTATAATATGCTCTGTATGTAACAAAGTATAGAAAAGCAACAAAAAAAACATGTTGTTTACAAATCAATAAGAGTTGGGGTTCCCAAAAGATTCCCAAAATTGAAAGGCTCCATGTACCGTAGTTGTTTTTCCAAAAAAAATGAAAAAAAAGGACATTTCTTTGGCATACAAAGCAAAGCAACCGTATATCAAAATGTAAACATGATGCCACCAGAGGGAGCTAAATATGTATGGTTTCATGCTCAGGAGTGAAGCTCTGTGTGTGGTCTGTGTTTCTCACTCTAAATCTGTTTGTGTGACCTGCTTACAAATCAAGGTGACAGAAAACATCTCATGCAGAGACAAAGTGTCAGTCTGTGGAGACAAAACATGGCGTTCAATCTGTTTCAGCTTCTCTAAAAGATTTACTTGATGTGTGCCGACCACAATCACCACTGTCCCAAAGTTTAATAGACAACAAAATGGATGCAGGTACACTTTGCTGCATGAAGACAACAAAGGACCTTGGTAGGTCAATGGAGGTACGGAGCAGAGAGAGAGGTGTGGGGGGGGGGGGGGGTAATTGGGAGTAAAACAGAGAGACGAGGAGAGAGCAATGGATGGCTGGTCAGCGAAAGTAAGCTGTCAGGCCGTCTGCCTGCTGGAACTGATGACACAGCGACTGAGAGACAGGAAGCCATTATACTGTCCTTGGTGGCTGAGCGCGGAGCACTGAGCACGCCCCCTCTGTGACGGGAACTGAGACATTCGGGGTCCACTAGCTGCCCTCGCCGACACAATGACACAGATCACCCACCAGGGAGACAACCGTTAGTTATGACCTGTCTCAGCTACAGAATAGAACAAAAAAAAGACTGAAAATGTTCAAGAGTTAGCAACATTTCAACCTTTTCTCCAGGAGCATCCCATGAAGACACGCTGGGTTGAGGTTTCATCTTGACACCTTTCAAGGTGTACCATATCATGCAGATGCTATACAGTTATATTTCTGATTTAATACAGTGTATAGCTTCTGTACAGTTTATTTTAATTTACTTAGCTGTTACTACAACTTATTTTTGTACTTTTCTACTCTTTTTTTCTTATAATGCTGTTCTATTTTATATAGAATTTTTACTTTTTTGTAGAAGCTGACTCAGAGAGAAACACACAAATTCCAATGTACCTGTACTGTCCTGTACCTGTGCAAATGGCAACAAACACTTCATGCTTAGATTGTGTCTTTTATTGTTTTCTGATTAAAATAAGTACGCAGACTCAAGAAGTCCAAAGGGAATTAGAATCAGAAATACTTCATTTGTCTCAAATTCGGAAACAACCTCTAGAGGATTTAAAATGTGTCGCCTAGAGAGCGCACTGAGACCCAGTGGTTGAGTCGAGCGCCCCATGTGAGGAGGTCATTGCCCTCGTCTCAGCAAGCCGTGGGTTCAAATCAGACCTCGACCCACTGCTGCATGTCAAACCTCACTCTCACCTCCCTCTCTCTCTCTTCAGCGGATCTATCCAATAAAGTATCACTTGATCATTTTCAGTCTTTGTGGCAAGAAAACAAATCTTAAAGGGTATTCTAATTGATTTAGCTAAAACAAAGGAGAATGTAATTTAGAGGAAACTCAAATATGTCACAGAGTAAATTGTCTTACTTCTATAATTCTAATGTCCTGTATAAATCTTTAAAAAAAAAAAAAAAGGTTCACGTTGTTGAAGACAGATCAGACACTGTTTGTTTCCTGACCTCAATCCATTTGAGAATTTACGGGCAGATTATAATTATTGTGTTGAATCAGTTTCCACACAACAACAGTCCAGTTCCAGGAAGTGAAAAAAGAAAACAGGCTAAGTAGGGAGTCAAAACGAAATAAATGAGGTCTGTGTTCATAAGCACATTGCCCAATATATTCCTCTCCCTGGACCCACTTTATTACTAGATGAGCCACACAAGTGTAACATCTGTTAAAGTGAGTCACTGTGACATTTTGGCATTAAACTCATGAAATGATAACAATGTTCTCATGACTGGTCACTTACAGACATAAATATTTGGAAGTTTAAAGTTGACTGCTGCTTAATTCACATCAGCATTACATGGATATAATAAGAGATCTGTTGCCTTATACTTAATGGGCTGTACTTTTATCACTTTGAATACATATTAACTTAAATCCTAAATGTAGGTCAGCTTTATTTCAAAACATTACGGTAGATCAATCTGTAACTTTTATTAACTATCTCTGAAACCACACACACACACACACACACACACACACACACACACACACACACACACACACACACACACACACACACACACACACACACACACACACACACACACACACACACACACACACACACACACACACACACACACACACACACACACACACACACAGTCACACAATACAACTGATAAAAAGGGCAACATTCCCAAATGGAGCATGTGAAATAAGAGATCAAATGGGATGAAAGCTGAGTTATTTAAAGGCAAGAAAATAAAGAAGAAGAAGCTATTTCAGTTGTCATAAGGCCTTATAACAAAGTACTGAAAGTAAAGATAAAAAATGGCTACCGGCTGACATAGTTTGAGAATTAACACTTAGCAGGTGTTGTTCATAAAGAGCATTTTGTCATTATGTACAACTTGTAGAAAATTGCCATTGACACACTTGTTGTGATAGTGAAACTAAAGATTGTTTTCAATATCAAGTTGAGTTGTTGATTGTATCCTCAATTATTTTATTAATCCTGTGCTCAGCGCCACAAGATCAAAAACCATGTCTCCAAAATGCTTGTTTAGTCAATGAAACCAATATATATTTTCAATTTCAGTTTTTTTTTTAACATTAGTAACAGCAAATACTCAAAATGAAAAAATGTGAATGAGATGAGGTCTAATTTTGCTCTAAAATGGAGAAAAATAGCTCTTAAGTCATCAAATGGTTTGTTAAGCTACAGGCTATGTTGATTTCTCTTCTGCTCTTACCTTCTTATTGCTGTTCTCTTTTCATTTGATTTTATCTCTTTTAGTTTCTTACATCTTTTTAAATCTTTGGTTCCTCTTGGTCTCAGCTCGTGTGTTGTTGGTTCTTGTGATGTTTCCTGTGGTTCTTGTGATGGTTCTTATGATGGTTCTTGTGATGGTTCTTGTGATGGTTCTTGTGATGGTTCTTATGATGTTCTTGTGATGGTTCTTGTGATGGTTCTAGTGATGGTTCTATGATGGTTCTTGTGATGGTTCTTGTGATGGTCTGGTTCTATATGTCTGTTGGGTATCGTGCACTTTGGGTTCTTTTCTGTTGAATTGTATTTATTATTTTTAGTATTTAGTATTTGTTATGTTCTTGTTGTTGTTTATGTTCTTCTGTGTTTGCTTTAGTTTGTTCTTGTTTTGCTGTTTGTCAAAGCACTTTGTAAACCTGTGTTTTTAAAAGGTGCTATAGAAATAAAGTTATTATTATTATTATTATTATTATTATTATTATTATTATCCATACCAATTTATCGAACTTATATCTGTACTTTTTTAGTAGGAAGCAGAAGTAATGATTGATTAGTCAGCTTAATTACTAATTGATGAGAATCTATTTGAGCCTGTATTTGATTTGTAATGTCTGTTTTACAATAATAAGTTTCTTCTTCTTTCCAGTCAACGGGTTTACCTTGGCAGTAAATCGATTCATATGTCATAAAACAAAAGGTAACCATGGCAACAGTACTTTGAATCCATGTCATGTACCAGTTAACTGGAATAACCCCTCCAGGCTCAACCGACGACCAAGAAAAAGGCTAAGTAACTTCCTTATAAACTAGTAAATATACTTTCAGGGGGCTTATATGTAAATAACTGACTTAGAAGTTATTTTTTAAAGTTACTTCTCGATATTAATATTGTAGTTGAAGTTAGTGTTGTTTAAACCCTCCATGAACCTTACCTGGTTAGATTCTCTATCTCTGCAGGTATACTCTTCAGTCTGTTACCTCCGACTGAAAGCGACTGCAGACACAGCAGTTTCATACACTGCAGGGGGATCTCCTCAAACCGGTTCCCACTAAAGTTCAACACCTCCAGCTGCAAAGAGCCGAACTCTTTGGGCAGCGAGAACTCGTCCAGCCGGTTGTTCTTGGCTATCAGTATTTTCAGTCTGCTCAGCTGCGTTATGCCCTCACAGATGGCCGACAGTCCGTTGTTGCTGATGTCCAAAAACTCCAGGTTGCAGAAAAGTCCGACGGCCGAGGGCAGCGAGGTGAGCCGGTTGTAGTTCAGGTAGAGCTGTTTGGTGTCTCTCTTCCTCTTGTCGCTGATTGTATCAACGCCAAAAGCCTCCAGGCTCAAACGAGAAAAGTCGAGCACGTTGTCGCCTGCTGCCGCTGCCCCTTCGTTCATCTCCATTTTAGCAATTATTTGTTGGATTTAAACTCTGAACTAAGTCCTTGTTAAAGTGTTGCTGTAGGCTTGAACGCCCCCCGTAGACTGCGAGTTAGCTCCAGGACTTTAGGTCTATGTTTGACCTGGAGAACGGAAAGTCTTCTACACTCCCTCCCGAAACATCTAACCATATCTCTGATGGGAATCTAGGTCACTAATTGAGACTATCGAAGCTAAATGTGACCACAGTGGACTCAATGTAGCTCTACTACAAAGCAGCCTTTTTTTTTTTTCTTTTTTTTTTTTTCAACCAACATTTTCAACCAAGTCCACAGATTGGCTTATTCCCCAGAAAAGCCCCGCCCACCTAAGCGTTGATTGGTTACTTTTCTTCCCTGTCATTTCACACAAGTATTAGACATTTGTAACAAGTTTGTTTTTGCGCGATATATTAAAGTTAAAGCTTTAGACTAAACTGACACATCACTTTGTGTAGAAGTCGTTTTAAGTCGCATCTTCGACACATTCTCAGCCGATGATCCATCACGTCCCATGTGCCCAGTCCCGGCCACTGCTATTATGCAACACCCTTCTTTTGTTACATTATTATGCAATGCTCTGCTGACTACACTGTGCATAGAATGAGAAATAGGAACGGGGTAATTGGGTTCCTCCCAACAGAATTCAGAGTCTGTTAAAGCTCTATGCTGTTCATATAGCTTTATGAGCAGTTTGGAACAGTTTACCTCTGGACATCAGGCAGGATTGTTCTGTTGAGGTTTTTAAAGCAAAGTTAAAGACCCGTCTGTTTACTGTTGAGTATGAGTCATGATTTCTCTGTATGTTTTTCCTGTATTTTTCCTGTATTGCTTTGCACAGCACTTTGATTTAAAGCGCTTTATAAATACATTTATTATTATTATTATTATTATTATTATTATTAATAATAATTCGACAGTATTGTATCGTCAACCAGAGTTTGGAATATCCTGCAGACATTGATTACCTGACCTGAGCCACTACATGTGCATAGCAAATATGCAAAAAAAAAGAGCTCAGAGCCTTCAAAGTGTAGAGTCTGGTAAGTATTTGAATAAACTCCTAAACTAGGCTTGCAGCCAAAGGAGGTAGTCCCAGAGGGATCCTGCACTTAATGCAATATTTTCTGTCCCCGACTGGAATTTAATCTTCTTCTTTCACTCACAATATTTGAAGCGGATGTTTAGTAGATAAAAGGTGCACACACAAACACACACACACACACACACACACACACACACACACACACACACACACAACAACAAAGTAATGTTGTGGTTTATGGGCTTTATTGGCATACATATGTATTCCTTACAGTCTCTGCACATTTAGTGGAATATAAAGATTTTAGCCTGAACCTAGTAAAGCAACTTTCACACAGGCATGTATCAGGGGTAGAGTCACAAAGCACTAGTTCACTGCTAAACTTCAGCAAAGCACACTCACTCTGTTGCTCCGGCGATCGGCATTTTAGCCTCGGTGGAGGCAAAGGTAGAGACACACGGTTTGCAGGTCTAAGGCACTGATTTGTATTGTCAAACCTCCCAATTCAGGAACAGGCTTTTATCAAATAAACACATTTAAACAAACCCCACTACTCTTAGCATCAATACCACACACACACACACACACACACATTCACACACGCATGCACACGATTTAAATGCACCCAGTTATCGATGCGTCTAAGCTACTACAGCTGACAGTGAGGCTAGTCCTTCTGTTCGAATGATTTTGAAAGCACAGGTATAGTGTTGTTGCTGGGTCCAGAGTAATGTTTTACCTGGAGAATTTAGTACAACATTCAAACACTTCAATAAGACTTTGGTTTCAGTTTTCACCATGCTATATTCAGATCAGGTCTCACCGAGGTGCAGCTGTGCGGCTCTGCACTGAAAGATGGACCACTATGTCTCTTGTCTGAGAAAATGTCAGAGACCACCGACAGAGAAATGTTAAAAAAGCACCACAGAGACTTGCCTGAGCATAACATGTGAACAAGATTGAGTTGCAACTCAAGCCAATAACGTACTGTACATAAAAGCAAACATTTCTTGAAGCAAAATTTTAACTTTAGCCGGAAGATTAAAAAAAAATATATTGATAAATTTAAGAAAAAGAAAGACAAAGAGAGAAGGCAGAGAAGTGCATTAATCAAATAGTGGCCTGCTGTGGCAGTTCTGGACGGCAGCAAAACCAAATCTGTAGTAGCCTTACTCTCTCATCCTTAACCGACCTGTTGACTGTGAAACCGATGAGAGTCCACACACGCTGCACTAGGTGTCAAGTAGTTCTCCGACAGCCCCCCTGATTTTAACAGTTGTTTTCTCCACTCTCCTAACCAAACAACCCTCCAAAATAACGACTTTCTTATCCCCAAAACAACAAACAAAATGCCTTTTTTTCTTATAATAACTGTAAAAATATACGGATTGTAGTAAAAATAGCCCCAAGGCTAGTGTAGAGGCGCGGTAATACAATCAAATATGACAGTACTGAACATGAGGGAATCCAATAATACTCTTCGATTGCCCCTGAATCTAACAAACAATAACACAAACACAAAAACGTTGTAAAAAAAAAAAAAAAAAAAAAAAAGTGTAATAATTAACATAGCAGAGAAACATGAAAAAAAAGTCAGTTTCAAAACAACACATGGCCGCAAGTTAAATCAAGTATGGAGAAAGGGGTGATGATGTGCATCCTCTCCTTCATTGCATCCTTGTTTAGGCCTCCTTTGTGCTGGTCTTCATCTTCTCAACGGTTTCCTGTATTTAAAAACATTAAAGAATAGACAAAAAAAAACGTATTATAAGTTATGATTTAACAGAATAGTTCAATAACAATGCAAGTAAAAAAGTTGTACAGGCATCTCATCTTTAAGCTTGTAATATTTGGTGAACATTTTTGAAAGTAAACACATCACATCCACACCAATTGCCCCAAGATTAATAAAGTTGTTTGAATTGAGTGAATCACTTAAACTCTTTGTCTATTGGAAGTCAGTTTTCACTGATTTTAGCAAACTTGTTCCCATAGAGCCACATGTATTCACAGTGGCACTATAAGCCACCATTCTGGGGTACAATGTACAAGATCATGCTGACTCAGCAATGGCCTCAAGCCAGAGCCCTACTCTTATCTTAAGCCTCTCATATACAAATATAAGTTAGCATTAAGGTCAAGTGACCCAGGTCTTTCTCTCATTATCTCTGTTTTGTTTTTTTATCTCTAACAATATATCTTTGATTGCACAGCCATGAATTTGCACAGCTCTGGAGAACCCTCTATATTGTTATTACACTGTTTTTGCAAACTTACATCTCTTACCTCCAGCAAGTATTTTTACATTCAATTGACAAGCCTGAATAAATGTTGTAATGAATTTTTTATACCATTTTTTTTAACCATTAGGAAGTGCTTATTTATGTATCTATTCTTACACTGTTTTATTTGTAACATGCTGCTGTAACACCACAATTTCCCAGTTTGGGATCAATAAAGTTACTCTATTCTATTTTTTTGTTATACTTCTCCGATTCAGGATTTTATTACATTTTTGGACCTATAATGGGCAAATAAATCAACTTGATGCAACAGATTCAGAAGTCTAATTGAAGTGAATTTCTCTTCCTTAAAACCTGTCTATGTTACCCTTTGTAGCAAATCACCTGCCAGCTGTTTTATACATTTACACATTTTCATTGTAATCTTCAGCCCAACCTTTTACTGACTCAAGTGACATCACAGTAGGCTTTTAGAAAAAATGTTTTTATCAATCTCGGCTTAGATCTCTTTGGAGTCACAAATAGGTTAAAGCAGAAAGATCCAAGACCTGTAAATAAACTTTTTAAGTAAAATAAATTGGGTAATACTGGTCTTCTTATTTTCAGCAACATTCAGTACACTTCTTGATATTCTCTCTAAGGAATAACTACCAATAAAACCTGATGACCCTGATTCATCACTAAGTTTCATTGATCGAATTTAGACAACATTTCTTTATTTCACAGCGTCTGATTTATTAGTTTACTTTTCCAGCCAGTGCGCATAAAGCTGCTGACGCCCCGGCTCACTGAGCTGTGATAGGTTGGTACACACAGTCACATCGAAAATTTACACCCAAGCATATTCCTCTGTGGATTGTTTTTTGTGCTGGCTGAGCAGTTTGATTTCAAATGCTCTTTGTCCACAAACCCAGAGGTCTATCCTGAAGAAATCTCAAAGCAGACACTTTTGCTTTCTGGCTCATGCCAACTATATTTCATGGACCTTCTAACCCAGTGGGATCATATGAGCAGTGGGCAGTAATGGGCCCCTGATATACACTTCAAAAGTTGTGACTGCAGCCAAACGACTTGTAGTGCACTGTAAATAAATTAGACGGTGCACCCGCTATTCTTATTTGACTTGTTATGATATGATTCATAGCATTTTAGTTTACTGCTTTTTTCCCCCCAGATTTACAAACACAGACCTGATGCTTGTTGAGCTCGGCCACTCTGAGGTTCCACTCCTCCTCAGTCATCTCTGCTCCAGCATCGACTGCCTCATCCACAGCTGCTGTTTTGTCTGCAAAGATTAAGCAAACATCCAAAATGTGTGAGTTGGTTTAATATAATAATAATAATGATAATAATAATAACTTTATTTCTATAGCACCTTTTAAAAACACAGGTTTACAAAGTGCTTTGACAAACAGCAAAAACAAGAACAAACTAAACCAAACACAGAAGAACATAAACAACAACAAGAACATAACAAATGCAAAATACTAAAAATAATTAAATACAATTCAACAGAAAAGAACCCAAAGTGCACGATACCCAACAGACATATAGAACCAGACCATCACAAGAACCATCACAAGAACCATCACAAGAACCATCACAAGAACCATCATAAGAACCATCATAAGAACCATCATAAGAAACATCACAAGAACCATCACAAGAACCATCATAAGAACCATCACAAGAACCATCACAAGAACCCAACAACACGAGCTGAGACCAAGAGGAACCAAAGATTTAAAAAGATGTAAGAAACTAAAAGAGCTAAAAGCAAATCAAAAGAGAACAGCAATAAGAAGGAAAGAGCAGGAAGAGAAACAAGTGAATAAATTATCAAAAAAGCAATAGTATTAATAATAATAAAAAGCATATATACATATAAAACATAAATAGACAAAGTAAGTAAGATAACTTAAAACATAAGAGGAGTTAAGATAAGAGCATAAATAATAAGGGCAGTAAGAAGTAAAAAAAGATAAAAATAGTAAAACCAGAAAGAAAAGAAGTGTAAGGTCTAAATCTGCTCTATAAGAAGAATGATTGATCGCCTGAGTGTCCCCAAAATGATCAAAATAACATTGAGTCCCACAGAAACCCGTTTGTGTATCATAACTCACCAGTGCAGGTCATAGCAGTGCAGACCCAGTTACCACAGGCACAAACACAGCGGTTACACTCGACCTGGGTCTCCGCCCCGTCCTCGTATGTCTCATCTTCCAAGGCACATTCTGGAGAACCACACATGATAACGATAAAGACAAAACTAAAGAAAACAAGACGATGTAGCAGATTGCTAAAATGAACAGCAAAGCACTGTTTGTTATCTATTACCATGAAGAAGAATGGTCAGCTTTTTTAAAACGCTATATACTTCATTCACTAGCTTTCTGTAGTTTTAAACTCGATTGTCTTTGGAAAGTCAAAGTTGTCAAGTGAACAAAATCTGCCCAACAGCAAATGTGCAGAACGTCGTCTCAGAAAAAGAAAAAAACATTTGACAAACATTTAAAGGCTTTATATGATCCAGCAGATGTCGCCCTTGAGCACCAGCATGAAACCAAAACAACTCACGCTGCATTGTTGTGTTAGCATGCTAATGCTAGCGATCTTTATTATGCTGGTATCTTCACACTGCATGTAAATTTACCTGAAATGAGCGTGATCTAGAAACACAGTTAAGCAGTGAGTACAGTATGTTATTCTTCTTTTCTCTAGTCCCTCAATTAAACTACTTTTATACACGAGGGGAGGAGTCAGCCGGCCGTCCTGGCGATGTAAACAAAGTGAAGATAGGACTCTGAAAACTCTGAAAACATCACAGACAGTGGGACTCGGGTGTTACACCCATTGCAGACAGTCATGACTCACAGAGTTATTTTCAGAGGATAAACTTGATTTCCACATTTAAGTGTAAAAAATCACATTTAAAGACTTTAAAGTGTAATCTAATAAAAAATAGCAATCTTGAATATGCACAATACGATAAAAAGTAAAGTTATACAATTTAAACTAAATGAAGCATTGATGAGTATCAGCAGACATGTTGGTTTAAAATGTGTTATTACATTTAAGTGTGAAAAATCACATATAAAGCCTTTAATGTGTTTATCTTTGATGACAAACCCCGACCCAGTTCATGTGCTAAACGATGATTTTATAAATACACAGAGCCAGCTGAATGTTTGTGTGTGCTTGAGTCTCGTCCAGCTGTGTGAGTTCATTGGTCTGTGGTGAATGTTATTTCCCCCTCTGTTGTTCAGTGAACTTTAGCCTAAATATTTCAACATCTGACAAGTGTTCAGGCTGAAGTGAAACCACAAACCTCTGACTGAGTCTCAAACTATGCAGGAAACAGTTGTAGTCACAATTCCACGTTAGCTGTTTTACCACGACTGTCTGCCCGCGCTTTATTCAAAGCATGAATATAAACTGTGTGTGCATGTGTATCTCTGTCAGTTTATGTTGAATGAAGCTCACTCTTCTCTGGGGGATTGAAGCCGGGCTTCAGGCAGTTGAGGAACTCATCAAAGCTCAGCTTCCAGTCAGCGTTCTCGTCAGAGAGTTCGATGAGGGCGTCGATGCACAGGCTCCTGGTGGGCACAAACAAACATGTAAACAAGGCTTTAGAGGCTGCTCGCTGGAGTTACAATACAACTCCAGAGAAAGATACAAACACATGAAGAAATGATAATTGCTTCAGATTGTTTTATTCCACAGAGCACATGTGTTTACGCTCCCATAGGAGGCCTTCAGTAATGTTTGCTCTGGACAGATAGGGTTCATTGAATGTGCTGCGTATCTGAAAATAGCCAACAGCACACAGATATATATCTGGGTTTGCAAGCGTTGCCAAAGAAGAAAATGTTCCCAGAGCTTTGATAGCAAAAAAAAAAAAAGAATGCCAACTGAAGGACTTTTTCAACCCCTCATATGCCCTCATGTGGCGGCAAACCCACAGACACACACACACACACACACACACACACTGACCTGAGCAGCTTGTTGCTCTCCTGGTCTGCGTAAGACTGCATCTCCACGACAGAGTCATTCTGCTGGATGAACTTGAGCAGCTCTGAGGAGTCCAGCTGAGAGTCACCGTTATCATAAGACTGCAAAGAAAGAAAAGAAACGTGAGAAGGGCGCTAAATTATTAACATGCAACATGGTTACCATGGCAACCTGACAAAAACATCAGATATTAAAGGTAACAATATATTTCTAAACTTCTGTGATGTGCATGTTAAGAAGAGGAGGAGGAAGAGGAGGTGGAGGAGGAAGAGGGGGAGGAAGAGGAGGAGGAAGAGGGGAGGAAGAAGAAGAGGAAGAGGGGAGGAAGAGGAGGAGGAAGAGGGGGAGGAAGAGGAAGAGGAGGAGGAAGAGGGGAGGAAGAGGAGGAGGGGGAGGAAGAGGAGGAGGAGGAGGAGGAGGAAGAGGGGGAAGAGGAGGAGGAGGAGGAGGAAGAGGGGGAGGAAGAGGGGAGGAGGAGGAGGAGGAAGAGGAGGTGGAGGAGGAGGAGGAAGAGGGGGAGGAAGAGGGGGAGGAGGAAGAGGAGGATCTTCTGTCTTGTAACTTTCATATCAACAGTTTTTAATTTGCACACTTAAAGTTCATTTCTTGTATTTTTATCTGCTAGAGAATAAATTCTACTCATGTAGGTTTTTGTGAATACACAATCATTACTTATCTTTAATTCATGTCAGAGTTGTTTGTTTCATTAAGATTTTGGACCAGAGGACTTTTTAAATAATTAAAGATATTTAATGAGACCATGTGATCTGTTTGTGCGAGACGTGTAGATGCTGTAGAGAATCAGCAAAAAGAAAACTCTTTAAAATGTGCAGAATAAATCCATGATGAGAAAGACCAGATAAATAAATCCTGCTTTTTAAACGACTGTTCAAAAAACCACTTCTGCTATAATCTCATTCATGTCAACGCACAGACAGGCAGGGGTCCTCCTCTGCAGAGACCCTCATTAAACTGAATTACAACCATTAGCGGACGGGCTTGAAGGGTCCGTCACATGAATAATGAGACGCAATCTGAGGCGAGGGTTGTTCAGCGGACGCCCACATGAATAAATGAACTGGGTTTGTTCTGTATAAAGAACGGTAAAGGAACAACTTGAGTATTTTTAGAGACCACTGTTCGTTCTTTCTTTTTTTTTTCCCACCTTGAAGTATTTGAGCAGGATGTCAGAGAAGTTGGATCCCTTGACGAACCAGCCGTCCGGGACGACCTCGGTCTGCAGCCACTGGATCACACGACCCCTCAGCTCGTTGCGATCAGCGGCATAGCAAACAACTGCAGGGACCAGAACATTTCCACAGGTCATCTTTTTCAAATTTCAAATTCAAATTTCCATTATTCCCTTTTTGATCAGAACCTTGATCCATCTTTTAATATTGATCTGAATACCGAAATAACATTTTCAAGATTGTCCTTAAAATACAAATAAACATACTAATGCAAGAGCACACACACACACACACACACACACACACACACACACACACACACACACACACACACACACACACACACACACACACACACACACACACACACACACACACACACACACACACACACACTCTCTCTCTCTCTCTCTCACTCACCTGGGCTGGCAGCAATCTGCTCGGTTTTCTTCTCTGGTGGTGATGAAAGAAAAAGAGAGTGATAGCAAATAAGAGAGAAATTCTACAACATTTGAGATAAAATGAAATATATTAAACAGGGTTGACTTTATTCAGAACCACAGTGATAAACTTCGCTGTCATTCAGCCCACGGCCAAAGGTCTGTAAAAGTGACACAGTGTGACATAACTATTTATTCTTGACTTCTTCTTTCTGCCCGCGGCTCTGATCAATGTTCAGCCCAGCAGAGACACAGACAGTGTGACATCCCCCGTAGTGAGAAAGTGAAAGGTTGACTCCAGATAAGACTCAACTATTAGATGCATTAATGGATAAAGTCAAGGCTAGGAGTGTGAGTGTAAGCACACTGTTTTTTTTATGCAGAGACACGTGGATGGCCTTGTAAGGTAGACTATCAACCCGTTGACCTCAAATATCAGTTATATGAATATGGGCAAGTACAGAGATTAAACAGTAACTGCTTTAATTTACTACACTCACTGTTATCAGCACTCACATCAAAAGCAACCCCACTGCAAGGTTAGAAACTGGCTTTCTGCCTCTTCACCTCACACCAATAGCCTGGTGTGTTACTACCTCTGGTTTAGTGAGAATTTGACCTTCTTAATTTAATACTTAAAGGCTTTTTATGTGATTTTTTGATCCAGCAGATGTCGCCCTTGAGCACCAGCATGAAACCAAAACAACTTGCGCTGCATTGTTGTGTTAGCATGCTAATGCTAGTGATCTTTATTATGCTGGTATCTTCACACTGCATGTAAATTTACCTGAAATGAGCGTGATCTAGAAACACAGTTAAGCAGTGAGTACAGTATGTTATTCTTCTTTTCTCTAGTCCCTCAATTAAACAACTTTTATAAACGAGGGGAGGAGTCAGCCGTCCGTCCGGGCGATGTAAACAAACTGAAGATAGGACTCTGAAAACTCTGAAAACATCACAGACAGTGGGACTCGGGTGTTACACCCATTGTAGACAGTCATGACTCACAGAGTTATTTTCAGAGGAGATACTTGATTTATATTATATTTAAGTGTGAAAAATCACAGATAAAGACTTTAATGTGTAATCTAATAAAAAATGGCAATCTTGAATATGCACAATACGATAAAAAAGTAAAGTTATACGATTCAAACTAAATGGAGCATTGATGAGTATCATCATATACATGTTGGTTTAAAATGTGTTTGAGATATGATGAGAAACTCCATCTGCTGTAGAAGATCTTATGATATTAAATGAGAAAGGTAAATCAAATGATCATGTTGGAGCATTTTACTTGTTTTAATTTGTTGTCTTTATTGATCTTTTGATCAAAAATATTATAACTTGTTTACTGATTATGGGTAATTTTATTTCTACAACTACAATGGGCAGACTTAGTAAAAATAAATTGCTTTCTCAAAGTCTGAATGTCTCATTAAAAACATTGTGTCCTTATAATCTCTCAAAAGAAAAAAGAACAATAATTACAACCAATGGAACTCACTTTTCATATCTTTGAGTCATTGAACAATTCCTGCACTACAACGGGCCAAATGCAACGAAATTTCGTTCTTATCTGCACTGTAAAGTACAAGTTTGAATGACAATAAAGAAAGTCTAAGTCTAAGTCTAATTCTGTTTGATCCAGTAGATTGGGTTTGTGTTGTTCATACGTTTGGCAAAGAAATACATTTGCCTACGTTTTATTTTCAAGAGGAATAATCTAATTTCAAATAGTCCATGTTTAGTCTGAACTTTTTTGAGTTGCAGTATTAATTTATCATGTTAAGGGAATTAAATAACCTTTGTTTGCTACATGTGAGGTTATTTTGCCTCATACTTTAATTTCTGAAAACATCTTAAACCGGCCTTGTCAGTTCTGTTGTGCTGATAATGATACACGATGTTCATCAGCTTTAACAGATATTTTTGGATATTTTGATAAAATAGCATTTACATATTTTCTCTGGTTTAAATTAATTAACTTAATTTAAGTTTTCTCAGTAGTTTAAAAAAAAAAAGTAAGATTTTCCTGTCCCTTTTCCAGATTCTTTATTTCCCCCTTTGTTGAGTTTTTCGTGTGATGTGTTCTCAGGTTGTGACCGCTCGTACCCTGGCAGTGTCCATCGTGGGCGACCTGGATCTTCAGGCCGGTCAGACAGGCGTCCCTGTGGAGCTCACAGTGGTTTCTGTACGTCTTCCCGTTGCTGCCACACACAGATCTCTTGTGGGGCTTACAGCTCTGGAGAGAAAAAGAGAGAATTCAAATGAATGGGATACTTACTCCTACCTTTTCTCTCTTTGTTGTCCGCTGGTAGTGATCACACACACTCACCTCTATACACAGACAGCTGGGCTCCCCCTTCTCGTTGACAGCACACTCTCTCCCGGCCCCACAGAACACATTGGCGCACACTTTGCTCTTGCTCTGCACCTCCTGAAGAAAAAAAAGAAACACATTGTGGACACTTAAGACATTTTTTTTTTTGCACGGTTCACACACAGGGCGGCGCTGTTGTCCTATAAGAACACAGCCGTTAAGAAATCACCGTGAGGTTGTTTGCGGCATTCTGTGAAATATTACCAACACAAAACCACAACTTTATACTTTCACAACTTTTTAATGAAACAGTCTTCTCCGTCCAATAAACTGCAGACACTAGCAGTTCTTTGCTGCATGCTAAATAACTTTATTTAAGACTTCCTTTTTTTAATTTAGTCAGCAAGCAAGAAAGAGATTTTACAGACAGTGAGTGCAGAATGAAAAATACTTAACCGGTCTGTTTGTTGCTTTTCTCAAAGAACTGTTTTCTTCTATTACTTGTGAAGTTTGATACATATGATTATATTTGGGGGGCTTCATCCTCATTGATTTCCATAAGTCTAACTAGATCTGTGCTCTCTCTAGATCTTGTTACATTTTCACCATCATTTTTCTTTTCTTTACTTTTTTACTCCTCTAACAAACTTCTACAAATATGACCAAATGGGGTTCTTCAAACTTCTTCTTCAACATATTGTTTGCTTGCACAGACACACGCTTTTGAATTCTGAGCCGTCCTGCAAAGTTTGACTGCACTGCTCCTTTAGATGGCGCCACCTCTTCAACACAGTCATTTGGAATGATTTTAATTTGTGCTCATGACTCAGACTCTCATCAAGTTGTGCACATTTTTTGTCCTTGTGCGAAAGATGATGCTTTCCCGGTAATGAGTCAGGACAGGATTCAACTTCACTGTGATTCACTTTGTTTCAGAACTGGATCAAGATGGAGATGTTAAACTAGTCTGTTTCTGGTCCTCAGCTCTCAGTTCATGCTTTTAGCTTCTGCATTTCGATTGAGGTCTGTGGAGTCCCACTTGTGTTTTTTTCAGTAGTTGCCATGTCAACGATGCCCAGACTTTGTTCAAGTAGTGACAGCTGACTGTACTCCACTTAGAAAAAAAGAATTGAAATAGTGAAGCCACTGTCTGCAGAGAGGAAAACAAAGGTAATGCTGCTGATGAGAACCTGCTGTGATTCAAACAACAGAATTATCTTTGCATGTGAACACTTAATAAGGACAGAATGAAAAACACTCATCTCTGAAGTCATTCTCTTTGTTTCAAGTGTTTGTGTTTCACTTTTTCCTCGAGTTCTTTCACTCGGTCTAATTACTCTTGTTGATAACTTCTCGCCCGTTGTTTCTTCATCGTTTGTTTATCGAAGAAGATTGCTGGTCCACTTTCCAGAAAATGAGTTCACTGGAGCAACAAACTGACCAATCACGAGACGCCAAGCGGAGCTCCAAGAGCAGCTTTATGACCCTCATTACCTACTCCTTTCATTATCTGTGTGTGTTTGTATATATGTGTGTGTGTGTGTGTGTGTGTGTGTGTGTGTGTGTGTGTGTGTGTGTGTGTGTGTGTGTGTGTGTGTGTAGGGTGTTTCCACATCTGGAGTCTGGGCTGTGTTTTCCTTTGGGCCCATTCCCATGCTCTGTGAAATCTAGACTCCCCCCCTCCTCCTCTCTCTTTAAGCTGCTGCTTCCTGTAAGAGCGAGACACAACGTTGGCCTTGTGTGTGTGTGTGTGTGTGTGTGTGTGTGTGTGTGTGTGTGTGTGTGTGTGTGTGTGTGTGTGTGTGTGTGTGTGTGACTGCACGTGAGCTGGCTGTGTGTGTTTCTGAGTCCAGATTCTGGTATGTAGGTTAAAGTGAGGGTGGACTCTTGTGACTGAAAGCTCACTTATGACAGAATGTAACAAGATGGACGCAGGGTGGAGGCAGTCACATGCAAGTACAGCAACATAGCAGATTTAAACCCCAAATCGGTGAGAGCCGATGGATTGTCGGTTCATTTCTATGCATGATTTTAACACACACACACACACACTCACACACACACACACACACTTGCACTCCAAAGTTGAGGTCATGGAAAAATCTTCAAAGCTATCCCCGTGGCTTTGACAATTCAGTTTGTTAGACACAGATGTGCTGGAAGCCTGTTGAAACCTGTAGAAACCTCCGATGAGAACATGAATAATGGATGTGCTCCTCAGATGAATCTGGTCTAAACGTAGAGCTCGTCTCTGGCCGTCTCTCTCTCTGCGAGCACAACCAGCAAGAGGATCCCTGACATTTAGCTAATGAACACACAGGCACCAGGCTGTCTTCTTTTTTTTTTTAAACCGGCACCAGCTGATTCAAGTGGATTGTTGCCATGGTGAGAACATGTACAGGCTCCTGTTGTGACAAGATCACAGAGGTGTCAATCAAAAGAGGCAAATTGAGCCAAGAGCCATAATAGGATCACAGCGGAGCATGTGGTGCAGATTTTTATGACTGACACACGGACTGAAAACAAAGGAGCTGGGAAATGAGACTTCCTTTTGTGGTCACGAATCAAGCCTGCATGGGGGACCACAGAGTACAGTTACATGCATGCTAGTGTCCTGGTTTAAGAGCCTTTACCTGGTTTTGATCACTACACTGGATATGTCTTGTACACAGGTACAAGAAGTGCAGGTTTTTGATCATGTAGCTGCCACACATTCAACTAATCAATGGTTAAAGATAATGTTTGATCAATATTAGCTATTAAATCTTAGCTACTGGTTTGCTAGCTACTAACAAGAACTTTTAGCACAGAAATGGGGGGAGGGGAGAGTAAGAGAGAGAGCTAGTCAATAGAGAACAAACCATATGACGTATTTTTGTAGGCTAACCAGGAAGTAGCATCGCCATGGCGTCTAATGAGAATTCACCTCTGGGATGTTTTCATTGGATTTTGGATCATTAATAAATAATCTCTGTGTTAAACACACGTTTCTGAAGCGTAGGCGTTTTGTTCAGCAGGATAATCTTCACAGATGAACGCCATTTTTATGATGTTTGAAGCGTTAATGCGGCCGACAGAAGTAAGAAGCTAACATTATGCTACAAGCTAACGACACCACGGTGGGATGATTGTGACATCACTAGCGTTATGCTTCAGACGATCTCTGATAAACTAATCCACGTAGCTTAATAAATAGTTTACTAACATAATATTCACCTTAACCTAAAGATTAAACCTACAGGAGACATCTCCGACTAGTGAGAGAGTTCCCGCCCTCTGTGTCCGGCGTGATGACCTTTAATGTCCCCGACAACCACTGTAGTCACATTTAGCCTCTTGTTAGCAACCGCCTTTTTAAAGACGAGTAAAAACTTCAAACTTCACAAGTGGAGGTATTACCTAACGTAGTTTATGTGCTCTAACAGAACACCAACATCTCTTCAGCTTGTGTTAACCACAGACCTTATTTCAGGAGTCTAACCACAAACACATTCAAAATCCCCGTTGACTTTTAGACGTTAGACCCCATGGCGCTCAAATGCTAACTTACTTCCTGGTTTTAGGACTCATTCCTGTGACGCTCTATAGTTTTGTATATTTGGGAGTCCAGACTTGGTCTTGGTTTAGGTCTTAACTACAACACTAGTAACTAATATCCCCAAGAGACCACTCACAAAGTTTCCAAGTATCACTTCTCATACAGAACAGAACATATCACGTTCAGAACTGTTAAAGATTTTTTTTTAAACGGAGGGAAATTCTGTACTTTCAATACAAAGCTAAACTCAACTTCCAGTTAGCTTAGCTAGCTAAAAGGCAACAATTGAAGGGTTGTTAAAGGTTGAAAGGTCAAGATTGTAATAGCATCTCTAAAGCTCGCTTATAACATTTAATGTGTTTGCAAAAAAACATAACTTGGTGTTAGCAGTACACATTAAAGTCAAAGACATGAGATGTAAACGAGTTTTTATTATTAAGTTGTTTGTAGACATGATCTGTTATCTTTGGACAGCGCCAGATTACCTGTTTCCCCACCTTTTCCAGTTTTCATGCTAAGCTAAGCTAAGCTAACTAGGTGCTGGGTAACCGTCATATTAACTCAATACTGTGAAGCTGAAGTTGACAGCACTCCTGGACAAGGCTTAAAGTGATGACAACATCTAAAGGTGTTTAAACGTCAGAGAAATAACGTTTTCATGTTTCTAAGAGGGAGATTTGAGTTTCTGCACAAACAGAGTTCAGATGTTTACATGCTTGAGCACATAATAGAGTTTATCTAAACACCTCAGGACTATGGATGCTTGACTGATGTAAACACAGCTATTAGCCGGATCACTATCATAGCAGACTTTATAAACAAAACGCACAATCTCAAACACGTCCACAGTGGGTGTCCTACTTAAATTACATCAATTTTTCAGAGCAACAAACAAATCCTTATTTTCATTTTTTCCTATTCAAAACCAGTCACAGTAGCTGGAGCTCTAATAAGTGACTGGTGAATCATTACAGATTAAGCATCGCCCTTTATACAGAAATGTGCCTCCAGCACAAAAACTGATTGTATTTATGCACATTTCACAGCCCATTTTCCTCAATTCCTGCCGCCCCCCCCCCCCCCCCCCAATTCCTGCTTCAATCTATTTAGTAAAGGGTTCAAATTATGTTAAAAAAGATTGGAAGATTTAAGTGATATTTCTCAAAACCCGCTCTGTGCATGCTTTCATCTTCCTATCTGAAGTACAGTGTGACTTAATTCTCTCTGCCTTGTCTTATTCCCAGTGCAGTGGCCTTTTAACGGCAGTGAGACGAGACAAGCTTTGCAGAGCTAGATGGAAGTAAGGGGGGAGAAAAAAAAAAGGTGAGTGAAGAAAGAAACAAAGAAAAAGACGCTGTGCAGAAATTCTGACGATGATGAAGAAACAGGTAAATGGTGCATGCTCTCCCCCTGCCACATGTTGAACAGCTCCATGCTGGGGCTAACTGGAATTAAAACGTCAATGTATTCACACTTAAAAATTTAAAAAGCCTCTCTCATTTTCCACCCACTGATAATACGCACGCAGTGAAACCAGCAGCACAGCTAAATCTGAATGCACTAACACATTAAATACCCA